CTGTGATACCGCAGCCGTAGGACTCATGGTGCTAGGTTACTAATGGCAGCTTTCCAGAACTCCCTACTTGTTTGTTTTTTTATGTGAGAAGTTTATAATGTACTGAAGCTATGTTTTTTTCCCCTTCAACACAGGACTGTCAGTAAATACTCAGCATTTGTACCTCTTATGTTGGTGTCTTTTTTCCCTTTTGTTTTTTTTCAATGTTATAAACTAGTCTGGATCAGTTTGCAATGCTTTTTAGTGCCGGAAACAAGAGATGTGTGGTCGGAAAATTTAGATTTCTCTTGTTTCATATATTTAGTTATGCTATTTATCCAGTGAAAAATACTCACCTGCAAGGCCACAAAATGTCTGAGAAGTGTTTTGCATACAAGGAATACTTATTCCAAAACAAGCCAAATTCTTTCTCAAGAATTGCTATTGTTTAACCCAAGTGTGTGTAATTTGTTTAGACTCTGACACAACCTTCACAGCTTTTTCCTCAGTAAAAGTAAGGGAGAAAAACTCTGTCTAGATCAGAACAGGGCAGATTACCGTGCCATAAGGGCCATATGATGAACTGTTTTCTCTATGCAAAGATAAAATAAAGTGCCGAATGAGTGAAATCCATCGATCTCCGTTTATTTAACTGGGGCCAATAGTTGAATACTTTTTCCCACTACATGTGCATGTGTGGAAGTCTAATAATCCCAAAATTATAGATAATCTGATTTCTAGTAATGTAAAGATTTTACAGATTAGGATTAGTACTAACATGTGCACTAATCATTTATGCTAACTGTATTAGAAAGTTATCACTGAAAAAAGAAACAAATATTTATTGTAACTTCATTACAATGACAAACTGTCATAGTTTTGGTTCTGTTATGCTTTACTTTGCTCCATATTTTCTAGTTTTATTGGTTTAATTTCTATTTTGTTGTACTTTCTCGATATATTTTAGTTCTCAGGTTATTTCTTTGTTGTCCGCTGTTGCCCTCGTGTTTGTGTGTGTGTGTTCCTTTCCCCTTGGCTCCATCATTGTCTCCTCTTACACCTGTTCCTTATCTGCTCGTTAGCCCTGCCTTTGTCTCAGTCATATATATATATATATATATATATATATATATATATATATATATATATATATATATATATATATATATATATATATATATATATACTCTCCCTCTGCTGTCACTCCTTGTTGGTTTCTTGTCGTTGCTGGTTTCTCAATGCTGTTTTCTTCCTAACTTGTCTCTCTGGCTCCTCGAGTTCGGTTTCCCCTGATGTCTCAATGAAGTTGGATTTTTGGATTCCTGCCTTCGTTAACTGTTTTCATCAATTAAACTGTAAAAAATCTCCTCAGCCTCTCTGCCTCTGCAGTTGGGTCCTCAAACCACAACCAAAACTTGACAAACTAATCCTACATAACATTTAAAACAGTCTTTAGCATCTAATGCTAGCACGTATCATGGCTAGCATTGGCCTACTGAAACAACAGTCACTATGCCAAAGGGAAATAAGGCTCTTTACGTGCCTCAATCAACATTCAATGAAAAGCTAGATACCTCAACCTGATGAAATTAGTTTGGTGTTCTCCTTACTTTTCTCTGCTAAAGTGTTGCTTTAATACCATTCAAATATTTCCTGACAAAAACAGAAACTCTTTCCATTTTTTTTTTTACATATTTTTGTCATTGCTGTACTTCTTTTGCAGTGTGCTTGAAGAGGATCCAGCTTTAGACAAAAATTTGGGTCCACAGAACAGCTGGATTCATATAGATATTAAATTACACTCAAGTGGGGTCGTGTTAAAATTTCTAAAGGCAGTTGGTTGTGATGGGTTTCCGTATTTAAAACTTTTTCATCCCACTTATGTTCCACTTTGTGTCTGTATATCATAAAGTATCAATAAAATTCATCCAGCTTTGTGTTTTTGTGAAATGGTTGCATGTAAGCTTTTAACACCACAGCTCTGCATTTTTCATTTTCTCAGCTGTTCACTCTGGAATGGATCATTTATAGTGAGGAAAGTGAGCCTTAATTTAAGTTAAAAAAAATAACTACTTGTTAACATGCTTATCCCAAAAAAAAATGTAATTTCTGTGTTTGGTCAACTATTTGTTTCTGCATCACGATGCTAAAATATCATGCCACAATAATTACATACATATGTGAATAGATGAGGCTATATCAGGTGTTTCCTTTTCTCTGCTCCCACACTAAAAGCAACCATGCTTGCCCAAAGTTTATTATCCCAAGCTGGCTGGACCCTTCAAGCTCAGAGCAGGTGCTGGATCAATAGGCTTAGCAAGTGAATGAGACAAAGACCACACTGCACACAGATGCACACAATCGCATACTCAGGGCGCTGGCGTAACAGAGCTGCAGCAGTTCGCCTCCTCTGGATTCAGCTTGTTTCCAATCAGCACCACCTCAATGTGAATGTAAAGGACCCAAACAAGTAAGGGAAACTCTACCAGAGTGCAAAGTTGCTACAGCTGAAGGAAAAAAAAAAAAGGAAACAGCTGAAAACTGCTAACCGTGTGAAATCAGTCGTAAAATACATTCAGAAACATTCCAGTGACGGGACAATATGGAGAGATGCTCATTTTTTCCCAGCTTTTCATGCTACCTTATTTAAAAGTGAATACTTGAATACCAACCAGGACCTGACGCCTGGGAGACACACGCTGCCACGCTGTCCTGTTGAGGGAGCCAGCGGAAGTAGTTAAAAGAGCTTTAGTCACTTTAATGGAAGGAGGGCCGATGCCAGAGCAAACCAACTCTGTATAAACAATTACTCAACTCTAGTTAAAGTGTGGGGTAATTATCTCACAATGACGACAGCCGGTGGTTACGAAGCTCGTCGCCTCAGTAAAAGAGAAGAAATGAGACACCGTCACTCAGCCATATGCATGGAAGACATTCCTTTTATAAAGTGGTGTAAAGACTCTCAGGAATTGGGTTGTTGACTTTAAAGGATGCGGTTAAACCTCTCACCACCAATTCGCTGAGCAGTGCAACATGGGCTCCGGTGCTTTGATCAGATTCATATTTTTCACCTTTTCTATTGCCCTCTCCAGGTTTGTACATCAACGGATTAAGGCTTTTAATTACTGAAGTAAAATTGGAAGCAAAAAACATGGTGGCAACATCATACAGTAGGATTGCTTTCCTTTCAGGGACAAGGAAGCCGGATGGAGCTACATGTTTAAGTAATACAGCTAGAAAGCCTATTAGAGGCTGCAAACTGGGGATGAGGTTAATCTTTCAGCAGGAAAAGCTAAAAAGCAAAATACAATAGATCTACAATTGAACATTTTAGACAGGGCATCAGAGCAGTGTCCTCTAGCTTTTACATGTGTCTCTGCTTTACACTCAGTAGACAGATCATTAGCAGGACTCAGATGTTAATTGCACACTGAACTGTTTGATTGCAAGGTTATGCTAATTACCTGAAGGTTAAAACCTACACAGATGAATCTCTTGACCTGAGTGTTTTCTCATTGGCAAACAGCCTTTCATGAAATTTCCTCCAAAACATTTAGGTTATTCTGAGCCATTTTCTATATTTATGCTGCTATATGCTTCGGCTGCTGGAGGACATAGTGACCATTTTTCATTATTCTGCTTCAGTGTACCTCTATTCTCGCATTCAACAGTTTTTGTTTAGCTTCACGCCTAACTTTTTGTTCTTCCTGCTTTATCTTGTCAAAGCAGCTTCATCTGGTTGATTTCTGTTTCACTGCAACTTCATTATGGAATGAAATATCAGCTGCGCTGCTGCCATTAATATCAATGTTTATAGATATTGGGGCTTGCACTTCAGAAAGTGAAAATTGTCACATCGAGGAGGAAAATTTCCCTGAAAATCAATGTCTGGATGCAATCAACTGATTTTCTTTGATATACATTTTTAACCAATCTGACTGTATTGTCTCTGTAAAGTGCCTTGAGATAAGATGTGTTATGAATCGATGCTCCGTATGAATAAATATTTTTTTAAATGTTTTATTTGAAATCCTTTTGTTGACCCTTTGCCTTGGTTCACCACCTTAGTGTCTTTCTTTTATGGCTAAATGTTGATGAGAAAATTCACAATTTTTCACTGTATCTTGACCGAGTAAAAGAAAAGTTATTTGTGTAATAATTTCTTATATGGTAATGTTTAATTACTGGCTTTACATTGTTAAGCAAAAGCACAAACAATCTTTCATGCATTAGATTGTGATAGTGAGAAAAATGCAAACACAGATAAGAGCATCATTAATAGATGTGGTTGATGTCTGTTATTTTTTGTTGTTGCTAATATTCACCATAATAGTCTTCCTTCATACATATTTAGCTCACATTCACTCAAATTCGTCGATAAGTCCAGTACAGCCAGCTGCCGTCAGAATCCTGACATTAAATAGATTCCATCTCTGTAATTTAATCTGAGTATAAATGCAGCTGTTCTATGAAGAAAATTAGAGAATTGTGAGCTTCATCAAGACCCAAGAACACAGCAAGAAGAAAAAGATATTCCATATGTAGACTCGAAAATGTGGAAGGCTCAGATAAGACCAGAATTTATCTTTTCCCTCGACTCGCAGCAAAAGTGGCAACTTCCTATAGAGAGCTTCCTTTTTTTTCAACATGTTTGGGATAGTTGGTCAGAGTTTAATAGAAGATGAATGAATAAATCCTGGAAGAGGTTCATCTTCCTGCTAGACGACGACCCGGAACATCTAGAGAGAACTACAATGGGTTTGGATCTAAGCATATCATATAAATTGATCATGACTTGAATTACAATAATTAAAAATAAGGAAAATTATATTTTATTGTTAAAATGATAAATAATAGAAAAGTAAAACATTTGCTGATGTTGAATGGAGGGATGCTGTTAAAGGCAGCATCCCTCACCTGTATGCTGTCTGCTTTGGCCAACAATATCTGTGATATGATCCTCATCAACAAATTTCCTCAACATAAAGGTCTGCTTAAAGATTAAGAAGTTTGAGACTCACCATTTGCGACTGGCTCCTGGGGCTGCCATTGATGTCCTCCACCTTCTCATTGGCTGCGAGAGAAACAGAACGGAGACGTGAGAGTTCATCCTGAGGCGCCGCATTCTCACATCCGTTACCTTCTGAGTTCAGACCAACAAGTCCAGCGAGAACCGCTAGTGAGGTTTACAAAACAGAGCGTGTGTGGAGGTGTGCGTGCTGAGGTGTGGAGCAGAGAAAAAGCTGCCTAATTCTTCAGCTGCTGCACAGAGTTACTGACAGGCCTGCTTGGCCTCATTGTCTGTGTCGGGTGAGCAGGGAGGGTAAAGTTTCAATCCAGCATTAGAGAGAGAGAGAGAGAATTTGAGAAAAAGTGAGACAGGCGACATGAGAAAGAAAAGCCTCATGCATAATAGACAGGAAAATATGCTTGTGGGTCTGATAAACAATGAAGAAGGAAGTCCTAAAAAAGAAAAGTTTCAAAGGTGAGAGTGACAAATAGAAAAGGAAAAAATCTGGAGCATAAAAAAAAAAAAAACAATGAGTGGGAGAAAGTCTCCCAAAAGATGCTGAGAAAAAGATTATGTAAGAGCCACCGCTGTGAGGACAGTCTAGTTACACGTTATTTATCACTTTGTGGACTTTCGCAGCTCATTCAAACTGGAAAACACAAAGTTTTTGTGACTGTCTATGATGCAGCCACAGGCACACTCCACGTATGACAAAGTTGTTTCATCTAAACCAAACCAATAGTCAGCTTGTGGGTTAAACTTACCAAATAAAACCCCAAAAAACAACCTGATGGGGGAATTCACACATTCCCATTCATTCAATCATTATGTCACATGGCCCTTGTGTTCCAGAAGCCCAAGAAGGCTTTTCGTTGAATAAAATAGATCTTAAGAGTAAGCTACTTGCCAGGCGAGGGCGTTATACTGGAAAAACGATCTACAGATAAGTAAAAATGTCTTAAATTAAGCCTATTTACCCTTAATTTGAGTGGGCAAATGAGTTTGCCAATGGCATGAGTATTTTTACTCTTAAAATATGATAATTAGATAATATGCACTTGAAATAAGACAATGTTTTCCTATTTTAAATGTAAATTGTCTTTTTCTTTGGCAAAATGTGTCTTTTACCTCCTCAATCCAAGAACAAATACACTTATGTTAAGGAAAAATTACTTTTCTAGATTTCGATTCTTTCCATTCTATCCCAACACGCCTCAGAGATACAATGTAAAACAGGAAAAAAAATGGGGTTAGAAATTTGTCTTAAATTAAATAATGCCAACAAGATATATATTCTGATTAATATCCAACAAACAGATTGTATTTTCGTCAATGGTTTTTATAAACATTTTGAAGTATCACATTAGAAGAGCTTGGAACAGAAAATTTCTAATCAACTTGTTAATAGTTTTTACGCAGCTCGAGGTGGTTTTTCACTTTTTTGAAAAAAACTAAATGGTCATAAGAAGAGATGGAAGCAAATTTGTCAATAAGTCCTGATGTAGCGAATGTTTACCTCACTGATCCGCTGTTTCCTCTGCAGTCCTGCCCTTTGACTCACAAATCTCTCTCTATATATTCAATTGGCATGTGACATCAATAATACTCGCTGACATCCATCCATCCAACTCTGTTTCCTATTTGCATCGCCTGGTTACTTTGCTCCAGTGAATTAAAACACTGTTAATTTGCATTTTCTTATTTTTGACATATTTAAAGTCGAAATTTGCATGACATTTGGAAGGAAATGTGGCTTTTTTTGTTTCTTTTAGTCCAAAAAACCGTGTAAGCAGCCCACTATGAAAAAATCTTGCCTAAATATCAACCTCTCATTTTGCGTAAAACTAAATGCTACAACTTACGTTTGCGAAACTGCTAAACGAAACTTGGTTCCACTATTAGCCCTTAGCCTAATTGTCATTGTGTCGGAATTATGTCTCCAACAAAAAAATTAAGCAAATTTTGTATTAGTGCCTGTAGCTTATTACCAACATTAGCTATAGTAAGAAGTTTACTGTTAACCATTAGGCCACCATTGTCTTCAACACAAAGATGATGCTAAGACTGTATTAGGACCTGTAGATAATTAGCAACTTTAGCTATCAGTACCAAGTTCGTCATTAGGTCACCATTGTTATTTTGGAAGACATGGTATATCTTTAACACAAAGATAAAGCTAATATTTTATTAGCACCTGTAGTTTGTTAGCAACTATAGCCTTTCACTACCGAGTTCAATCTCGTGAGTGTGTGAAACCAAAAGGAGTTAAGTGTGTGAACTAGAACCAGGACTCTCTACTGCCGTGATAGAAGCTGTAAACTAGAGAACAAGGCCTTTAGGGCTAAAGGGCAGATCATACTTCTGTGACCGCACGCATCAAATGTCGCTTGTGGTTGCGAAAACAGTTTTGCGGGTATGCTTCTGTACCGTCGGTCTGGAATTTCTAGGGATGCACAGCAGTTTCCCACCAAAGCGTTAAGGGGAGCCCATTCCAGAACCCACAAGAACTTTGGCGGATGGTCCCGAGAACTTTGGCGGCGCTGGCGGGAGTGTTTATCTTACAAAACAACAATGGCGCGGCCTGCAAGATATCACGGTCACGGAGATGGATCTAGAGTTGATAGACATCGAAAAGGAACTGGTTTTGTTAAGGGAGAGAACCTCCTCAATTAACCTTTCGTCGCACCCCCTGCATCGAATCGAGCAGGACGACCCCACAGACAGCCGGAAAGGCATACCAAGGACCAATCACAGCTGCTTTTTGTCGCAGGTTTGCGACCGTCCGACACATAATCAGGATTTTTTTGAGGTGTGCAAAGACGGTTGCAGAATCTATGCGCGGGGGCCGTGGTCACGCACAGAGAGGGGATTTGACTGTAGCAGAGGCTATATGTCAGAAGCATAAATTGGCCTTTAGTTATTGGGAAACCCAGAAACGGTGGACGGATACAGTGTGTAACCATGATGAACAAACGTCTGTATACCACAAACTTTATCTGTAATGCCTTTCATGCTCATCTCAATCATGCAAATTTGTTTTTGATGAGAATAGCGACACATTTATGAGAAACCATGAAGTTTTACTACCTCCCACAGCGCTGCTGTAACAACTAACTGTACAGGTCTTCCCTTTCTATCCATAGGCTGAAGGCTTTACCAGTGTAGTCCCTTTAATGAGAGATCAGATAAAAAAGGCTGTAACAGGGTTTCACTAAGACAAATAACAGTAATAAGATTACAGCTCTGTAACTGTAATCTCTTTAACTCTTCTTTTCTAGTGGTAATACCATCACAGTGAGACTTTGCAGTAAGTTGTTCCAGAGAACAGAATAAAAAAGGCTTTGTGAGTAAGTTAAACAAAAAAAATGGGGACAGAGAATAAAAACTGAGAGTAGGCAAAAGAATAAGAGATGCAGACAAGTTCCAGACAAAGGAAAGGAGGGGGGAGAAGAGAAGCAGAAGGAAAAAGGCAAGCAGGAGCTGCAACCGGGGAAACATGCATTAATAGGAGGGCTGTCAGGGACATAGATCTCTGCTGCTGCAGCCCCTAGAGCACCCAAAAACAAAGGACAACTGCTGCGTTTTGGCCCTGATATCAGACTGTTGCACCAGCCAGCTACAGTGGAGACCAAACTGCATGTGAAACAGAGAGTGGGTGGTCGCTCCATCCTCAGACAGTAAAACCAGATATTGTGACCTCATTTGAATCAGCTGTTTGTAAAATTCAGCTAGATTAAAGCAGAACTCACAAAAACTCAAGGGGGTTTTTGTCACAGGAAAATCAGGCAAAGTATTAAAATTTTTAGCAAACAAAAATTTATTTAAAATAATAATAATAATAATAATAAATCGCACTTTTACCAAGAATCCAATGTTTAATTCAATACTATTTCAGTATAAATGATAAATAACCCAAAAAACCTTCACAAACAATTTATAAGTAAACTCAAAGTCTCAATTTATATCCGCAAAAACCAAACAAAATCATCCCTAATAACTAAAAGTCCAAAACTGTCCGTCTCTTTTTATTTCTTATAATAATGTCCAAACAGGAGTTCCATACGCTCCGAACTCAAAGTAAAATCCTGGAACCGTTTCAGTCCAAAGTCCTTTCCAAAACGAAAAATCCAAACGGTAAACCCCCCCCAAAAAAAGATTAGAAAAAGAGTGGTACCACCAAAAATCCCCCAAAAGAAAAAAATAAGGTCCAGATCTCACCGGTGCGTCTTTCTTTCCCCTGGGCGGCGTCTCCTTGCACCGGGCGGCGTCCTCTGGGTGCAAACTCTGATCTGCTCTCTACAAGATCTACGGGTTTCTGTGGCGCTGGGACAAACTCTGTCTGTATTTCATCTTTATTCCTTTATTTTTCAAAGTGTTTTTAACGGACTTCCAGACAAAAACTCCTGCCGCACAGTCCTGTCAGTGAGCGTCTTCCTCACCTGTCGAGCCGCGCGCGCCGATGCACACGCCCCTTTTTATTCAAAAATGTTTCCACACCAAAATAACCCAGCATGTTAATTTACATCATCATTTCTTAACCAGTGGAGTTTTGAAATAATTTTATCAAAGACATAACTGTTCTACCAGACAGTATATCATTGGTACACTTTAAAGTGCTTTATACAAAAGGTAAAAAATAACATAGTGGTTATGTTACATGTTTATTATCAACATTCGCCTACCTATGATCTGGATGATCTGAGCCAGCAAGACTCCATCGGTGACATCCTGGCTCAGGTCTTTGATGAGGCGTGGACACCCAGACTTGGCCAGGTAGTGATTGGCCCAGTCAGTGTAGATCTGCAACAACAAGACACAACATGACATCAGTATGGTAGGGATAATAAAACACTCAAAGGAAGTTCAGGACATAAGTTAGACCATAGAGGCCACTTTAATCATTTACAGCCAATCAGTAAATCCTAGTGTATAATTATTAGTAGAGGTGAAATGTAAGGAAATCAGAAGTGTACATACATCTACTATCCGCTTCAAGATTCTCTTAGGAATCAATCAATCAATCAAAATTGGGTTAAAATTATAAACACTAAACAAATTTAAATGTGTTTTGTTCTTATTTTTGTCTGATAAAACATTCAATTGTGCTCAATTATTGACTGTCTAGGTGATAATAAGTGTTGTCCCGTTTAGGCAAAGCCCGAAGCCCTTAGTATGATGTTAACACCTCCATGCCTGAGGGTTAAAACACTGTTCTTGAGCTTCAAAGCCTCAGCTTGCCTCCTCCAAACATTCTTTTTTTTACAATTTGGTGAAAAAAGCTCAATCTTTGTGTAATCAAACAGTAAAACCTGTTCTCTGCTCATCTGGTTTGTCAATGTGAGCAGCTGTAAGGTTTAATCTAACTCATTCGTGCTCATTTTGAAAAAAAAATTCTAACCAAATAAATTTCATCTGCAATGGATAGATTGTAGGCTCCAAATGCATGTTCCAGGAGGACGGTGATGCCAAAGCAAAGCTCAAAGCTGGTTTTAGAATGAATAAAGAGGTTATCATTAAGCATCTGAAACCGCTGCTCATGCTGATAAGGATAATCCAACCAGAATTATGTCAGAAGCTTGTTGATGGTGCCAAAAAAAATCTGTAACTCACAATAAACCAAATAATCCCAGGTGTACATGCTATCCCAAATAAATTTAAACATTTATTTAAATCAGCTTTTATTTTAAATAGCAGTTTCTTTTTTTGCATTGTATGTCCTCTTGCAAAGAAAACTGTTAAAATGCATCTCTAAATGTCCTCGCAGTGCAGATAAACTTCTAGAAAGAGCTTGATGTGAGCAAATATCCTTGAGTCATAAATTATTTTACTCCAACATAAAGCTACGACCTACAATAAAAGGAAATATCAACAGTTTTTTGGATTTAGTACTCAATCCTCCATTATCCTTACAGGTATCAATGCACCACATTTTATCCCGATCTGGGCACCAGCTGCATCCTGCTTTCTCTCTCTAACTCAGACGTTTTTAATGCTTCGCCAGGCAATGCTGTCCAAACAGGCATCCTGTACCTCCTTACAACTCAAACACAAATATTTGATCAAGCTTTGATTCTCCAGACGGCACAGAGAGCCGTGTCGTTTCTGATCCGTCTTGCAGGGGATGAGGAAATGATTCCTCTAAACACTCAGATGTTATATACATGTTGATAGGATAACCTGTCCAGACTGCAAATTTAGTTCAGACATGACTGAGCAAGCACAGCCTTTAAGACATTCGCATTTCATGGAAAAGATGTATAAAGCCCTAAATAAAGTCATTTTTCATAGCAGCGAAATAGAACTTAAAAGGAGAGACGAAGCCTTTAATTTGTTTAATTATTTGTAAGAGAAAAAATAATCCAAACTTAACCATTTCGATGAGATGTACTTAGGTTTAAGTTTATTTAATAAAGCTTTTTTTTTTCTTAATTCATAGGGGCTGTTAGAAAATTATAACTTTCTGTTTCCTTGGGGTTCCAATGATGTGAGGCAGATATTAAGTTCATTAAACCACCGACTATTAGACTGGATGAGGTCACTATTTGGCTACCAGCCATAGATAGATAGGGAGTTTAAAACAAAAACTTGAATATTATTCTCCAACTTTCATTGTCAGGAAACTGAACTAAAACTACAACTCCATGAAAACTATTAGAAACATTAGAGAATTCAGTCCTGTTAGACAAAGATAAACATGATCTGTGATCAATATGACCTGAGATGCTTTGGGTCTATTTTTCTCCCAAACACTCTTTGGGGGGAAACGTTTAACAGCTGTTGCATCATAAGGTTTCAGTCTATCTCAGTTGTTTTGCTGATTCATGGTTGTGTACTATGAGCACAGAGCTCCCAGCTTAGGTCTGCTTTTCTACTACTCAGATATATGAAAGATCCTGATGAAAAATAGGAGGCAGTAACAGGAAAACTGAATGAGACAAGATCTGCATGATCTGAGAATGAGTAAGAGATAACCACCTGTTTAATCTTCATTTACATTGTTTTTGACTGTAACTCCAACTATTGTGGTAAGTTGCATTTTTTGCATTTAATCAGGTGAGATAATATTAATAATAATACCAATAATAATAATAATAATGCTAAGGTTCAGGAAGTAGTGAAGCCCTACATAGAGCTCATTAGTGGGAGAAATGAATCTGCTTCTTTGGGATGAAGAGGCCGTCAGTTGATAGCATTAAACGTATATCATCCTTTACCTGCAGGCTCGACCGCTGCTTGTTATTGATCCATGTTAATCCAGAAAAGCCTAATTCTCATAGGTATGTAGATGTGAACAGAATGAGGATTTGTTGCACTTTATTGAAGATGTCGGGGACTTTGCCTCCACAGACAGCCTCAGGCATAGGCTAAACGTTGGATAAATGTTTGTATTTACTTTGCTGGTTTTGTTTTTAATCCTGTCAGTCTCCCCTTAGGGGGCGGCAGATCTCTTTAGGTCCCACAAAACTGGAAAGCCCTGGCAACCACCTTTGATCCCTCCACTCCCACCCCTCACCTTATTCCCCAATCCCAGAGACACAGTTCTAGTTTTCTATCAATAACAATATCGATTTACTAATTTTATTAGTTTTAGGATATATCAACAGTGTGGAGGGGCATTCCTGAATTTTAAATTTGATTTTTGTTGTTTTTATATAAATAATTATGTAAAAATAAATCAAAGTATTACTGTCCCAGTTTCCTAATTTCATCTTGTAGAGATGTATGTTTTTATGTATGAGCTGGAAATGTCCCCAGATTTGATTTCAGAGATCTGGTCACCATCTATTATAGCCACATTTACCCTGTCTTTCTTGCAAACATTAATAAACTGATTGGCAGATTGGAAGATGAATTAAACTTAAGTGAATTCCTCTGAGGCTTATTGATAGAAGAAAACTAAAAAGGAAACTGCAACTTTTGGATTATAAGTTGACTTTTGGTCCAATTGCACCAACCTTTATTCTACTATGCATGAGTCTCTTTAGTCGTAGTAGTTAATGCACATATTTCAATATATATTTCTTTAACATTTTCTCTTTTTACCTATATTTGATTGGGTGGCCAAAAAATATGTATTTTACAAGAAATCTGAGGATAAATGTCTTCTATGCCTCGTGAGAAATTAGACATTTTTGCAGCCACACCATCCCAAATGGTTGAGATTTTAAGAGAAAATACCACATAAAAACTAACCACTTCTCATGATGCAATAATCTTTTCCCCCTCATAAACCACACACGCTGTTCTCAATTGAAAACACCCCTATCCTGCTCTTTTTGTTTTCTTGGAGGCAGGAAGTTGACTTATTCCGAAATTCGCCCTCTTGCAGGGGTTTTAACCTGATGTGGTTTCTTTTAGGGAATTCCTTAATGATTAGAAGTAGTAAAGTGTAGGCGTGAAAAAGAAAGAATTAACAGGTGGGAGTCATGTTTTTATTCACAAGCCGGGAAATAAACTGGGAGATTTGTTTGAAGAATCATACAAACTAGGGATGCAGCGATCGTTAGGCCAGCTCTGAGCAGTTTCTGGAGAGTTAAATTCTAAGAAAATAAGCTTAAATGGAAAAGTGAGAGTAATCAAGTAACGCTTTACTTTTCTGTAACATATTGAAGTTTTAATGCTTTATGTTCAATATATCCTGTGCTGGATGAGTTGAAATAAAACATTAAACTCTATTTCCTACCCTCCTCCCTCTCACACAGTGTGACATCACCTCCACTTCTCAGGCAAATATTGAATGACTAAGAATGACATTGAATGCTCTATATCATTTTCTTACTATAATTAAAAATGATGTTAAATGGAACTATAACTACAGCCATTGGAAAAAGGACTCAATGAACTGCATGTCTAACATGTTAGGTTATAACTAACTTGCTGCGAACTTTAGTCAATAATACGGCTCCTGTTCACCTTTCCTTTGCAGCAGTGCCTTGTGAGAGCGAGAAGTTTGCGACAGCTCCCTCTGCAGTGCTGAGCAATGCCTTATAGCCTTATTGTCGTCTCACCCTGAAACAGCTTTTACTTCAAATATGCTGTTTCTCTTAAACTCTGATGGTTGGAAAGGTTCTGTTCTATCAAACCTTAAAGGATAGAAGGGCAAGATACCAGACAACAAACAATTCTTCTGCAACTTTTTCAGTTCTACAGTAGTTCTTATCATTTTCACCCACTTCTCCACAAGCAACAAAAGAAAAAAAAAAAGCTTAAGTTTAGCAGAAATCAAAAGAGGTAGAGATGCCTCCTTTTCCCAACCTTTGAAACAAGCACAAGCCTGCAGATCAAACCTGAGCTGAGACCTTTACAACCTGTCACCTCCTGCTGCCTGTCCCCTTCACTTTCCTTACTGAGGCACCCGCGTCATGCCCCCCTCCGACGGGCACTGAGAGTTGAGTGTGTCAGCCTCCCTCTGCACTCATTAACCTATCCTGTCAGGATCCAGATCGCTTTGGGAAGCAGAAGCTGGCACTGTGACTCAGGCGAAACATCAGCAGTTGCAGCACCTTTCAGAGATGCTGACTGGGAATACTAACATCGCGCACAAACATACTCACAAACACAATCTGTAAAGATATCACCAGCAGCTGGTCATACACAAGTAGAAATTCTGACTCTCCCTCTCCTTTGCCAGTCTCGCTCCTCTTCCATCCTTCTTTTCTTCCCTTCGGCAGCCAGAATCAATCAGCAGAAGTCCATTCCCTCTCTCTGCTGGTGTTATCCTCACTGATGCAGCATGTAGTACCTCTCCTCTTTGACTCTACCTGCTCTGCAGAACTGTCCCCTCAGTGCCAGGGATCCCA